AAACAAGTTCACCGCCGGTAAGCGCTATCACCACTTGACGCGAATTTACAGCGCATTTTTGAATTGCCTTTTTTCCAGGAGTTCTCCACACGTTGATTCGCCTGTCTGCCCGAATGTGCCGAATACCTTCTGGGTAGACTTGCACCAAAGCATCGTCACCAAGCTGTGAGCAGGTAAGTGTGGGCGTAGTGCCTAGAAATCCGGAATCTGTAACTTCTTCGACTGTCTCGCCGATGGACAAGACGAGTGTTGCGTTCACGAAAGAGACGATAATGTAGGCGTCGTACTCCTCTGCAAGTGGGAAAGGTTAAAAAATGGATATCTACCTTCTGAATTGCGCTTTACGGTCCACACTGCGTTCGGACTGCCGGGGAGATCTGATTTTGCCATTTCAGTAACCTCCAGACCGTGGCGAAGTAAACGGAAAGTTGAGCGCGGACCTCTACCACAAACGACAGCAAGTTGTGGTGTATCTTCATTAGCGAGGTCGGCGATCTAGAAGTCGAAACTAGAAACGCAATCGATGTTATTACATGTAGACTTGTTATTGGTGATAAACCCTCTAGCACATCGACCTCGATTAAATTTTTAAGTCCTCGGGGAGAAAAATAAAAGGTATCCCCTTCTTCAAGTGGCATGGCTGAGGAAAATTCCGGTTCATCATCATTGTCACCGAGGTGTGCAATTTGGTAGAGATAGCTACAAGAGGAGTTAACCGTCGAAAATAAAGCCTTACTGGTTGCCAAATTCTGAGGCTGTGAACAGGAAACCAGTCTTTAAGACACACATCGCCGTGGCCACTGGGACGGTGTCAAAATATTTTACTTTGATTTCCGTGATTGTTTCTTTATCTTTCTCGAGATTGATCTTGAATATATCGCCCTGTTCTGTTTGGGCCAGGAAAAAGAAAAGGTTCTACAGCAGTGTGAAAAAAACAGCAAGCGTATTACCTTAGTTCTGTGAGTTGCGCTGCAAACAAATAGCAATCCTCTGTCGGGATCATCCAAGTCGTTGCGGCGTTGTGGGATCGGGCAACGGATATCCGGCTCATCACCGAAGTTTTTATATGTAATATAGTTTTCCGAACAAATTAGGAGACCCGAGTGAACTTCACTGCCGCCTGGTACCGTTATTAAAAAGTTGGCATGTTCTTCTAATGGTTCGGAGTACTTGCGTACGACGTGATTCAGTCCCAAGTCTAATTCATAGTAGGTTAATAGCTGGTGA